ACCAGGCCAGCAGAGGAGGGCAGTTGGGGGCCATCAGGCTGGCAGGGAGGGCAGTTGGGGGCAAGATCATGCCAGCAGGGGAGGGCAATTGGGGGTGACCAGGCCTGCAGGGGAGGGCTGTTGAGGCAATTGGGCTGACAGGGGAGCAGTTAGGCGTCAATCAGGCCCGCAGGGGAGCAGTTAGGGGGCAATCAGGCAGGCAAGCAGGTGAGCGCTTAGGAGCCAGCAGTCCCGGATTGTGAGAGGAATGTCTGACTGCTGGTTTAGGCCCGATCCCACAGGCCTAAACCAGCAGTTAGACATCCCCTGAGGGGTCCCGGATTGGAGAGGGTGCAAGCCAGGCTGAAGGACTTCCCCCGCCCCTCCGTCCACAAATTTTGTGCACCTGGCCTCTAGTTGTTCAATAAAACTTGTACAGATAATACAGTTGATAAAGTGACATACTTAAATTTATTAAAAAGAGAAAAAAATGTTTTCACAGATCCAGGGTAACCATGAAAAAAGGTTTTCCTTCCTTAAAGTGTTCTGTCACACTGGAGGGAAAAAATAATAAAAGGAAACATGAAAGCCAATAAAAGAAAAGCATGAGCATGGAAGACCATCATTAATCTTCTATTCAAATGGCAGTCACGGCTGCAGATTACTGGAAAGGCTTGAATAGCAACTCTATTCAGAGACAAATTAAGTATTTTGTACACTCAGAAATAAGTATGTGATCTAATTGCATACCTGATTCTGGAGCCATGCAACTGACTGTAGAAACACCAGTTAAAGGCTCATTAGTTCAAAGGGGAAATATAATTCTTGACATTTTTTTTGTAAGAAAATAATTAAAATTATAATGTTAGCAAAGTATTCTGTATGTACACATGAGTCACTCACTTTATATACACCTAAATGGTATTAACTGGATGATTTTCATGGCCTAGACTTAGTGCAGCCACATGGAGAAAGTGTAGGGACAAGGAGAAAGACAGGGGGCATAAGATGGAAAATCTAGTAGGGGCTTGGCAGGGAGGGGCAGGGGGAAAAGAGAGAGAGCTCTGGGATGAGAGTTCTGTTTAATTCAGATTCTACTCTTCACCAATAATTTTAAAATAGTTGACACATGAGATAGCTCAAGTATGAAATAAAACTATGCATACAGTGATCTTAATCTCTGCAGTCATTGTTATAAATATTTATTGAATAACTTCTATATGTTAGCTCCCACATCTCTGCTGCTTTTAAGAAAATGGGAAATCCCTTTGGGAGACCAGAGACATGATGTGACATGTTTTTTTTTCACTAGGTAGATGTTAAGAGAGTCTACATTAAAAAAAATACTAGTAATTCCATATATTATGATAAAAATAAATTTATTTAGGTAAAAAATGCCATCTCTCCTTGCTTGACAAGGGTAAATCCCCACCCGGTGGAGTCTGTTTGCTAACATGAATGAGCTCTGCTATAGTTTACTTCCACGTGTCATGTGTACAATCAACAATTAGCACAAGTGAAAGGTGTTTCCTATTCATCTCACTATGCCAGTGGTTGCTTCATATCATAATGAAGAAAATCACAGGAAAACAGGCCAAGAAATGTCTTTCTGTTGATTGAAATGTCATCTTTAAATGGTCGAATAGATTTCCAGCTTGAGTCTATAATTTGATATTGCAACCAACTTCATCTCTGTGCAGACCATGACTTAACAAATGTCTTCTAAGCCAAGAATCACTTTTAAAACAAACCCCTATTTGAGGATAAACACACATCTTTCAATGTGTGGTTTTAAACACCATTGTTTTGCACATTTTGAAATGTGATTTTTTTGCATCCCACCATTGTCTTGTCATAAATTAAAAGAATTTCATTATCACTAATCTATTGCACTAATGCCCAGTAATTGCCTATGGTCTATGCTTCATCATCCAAGGGTATAAAAAGGAACTTTGGAACTGCAGTTGTGGTCAGCCAGCTGACAGTCAGTCCTCTTTCCCACTCCACATTAAGCATCAGTATGTTGGACATGCTGGTCAAGCCATTCGGGGTCCCTCTGCATTGTCACTGGATAAGGAGGCCCGGACTTGATTATCTTTGGCAGAATGACTTTAGTTAGTAAATATCAAGTGGTCATCACTTTCTTTCCTACAACAGAAAAGGGGAGGGGGAAGGAGAAAAGAGATTATGACTCAAACATCTTTGGGAAGGAACAGAAATACTTCATATTCTAGGCATGCATAGGTTATCAACATGCTAAGTGGAACATTAAAAAGGGAAAACATTAAGAAGGGCATTTGACATTATTTTTGGTTTGAGCAGATGCTTTTGGCAACTTGGAGGAGCTGTCTACCTCTTTGGGACCCTCCATCTCCTTTCCTTGACAAGCCTTCTTAATGCCCGGAACTGCAGACTATCCTTCACTGCAGTAGAGAAGGCAAAAGGTAAATTCTGCATCTGTTCAACCAAGCACATCTTTCCAAAGAACCACATTACATTAGAGCTGGAAGAGCTGTCAGAGGTCATCTGTTCACCCTCATGACATTGAGGAACCAAGAGGTGTAGGAGGGGTCATGGGACACATTTGATAACTGACAGGGTCCAAAATGAAAATCCAGGGGTTTAAAGATCAGACTAAAGGTTCTGTCAGCGACTGGAAGGAGAATCCATTTGTGGCAGCTGCTGGACTGCTGTCCGTCATGGCCCCGGAGAGAAGGCCCACACACCAATACTCACAATGCCCTTCCTAATTCCTTGGGTTTCTCAGTGAGGTCTTTCTCCAATATTTACTCTCTATTCATAGCCTTCCTCAATTTTATTCCACTCTTTGGCTCCTAGCCTTTAGATATATCCAGGTATAGTTAATGTTTTATGGAGTCAAAGCCATCACTTGTTCTCAAGGCCCAGTATAATCCATTTCCTTCATCAGGCCCTAAGATCTTCATTTACTCTCTGCAAGGTCCTTCAAAAGCCCCCTAGATCTAGGCTTTGATTTGATTACTTGGCTAAAGCTGTTCTAGCTGATTTCACTCATAACTATCTTTTGGTAATAGCCACTCCTGTTTTCATTTTTTTAAAAAATATATTTTATTGATTTTTTACAGAGAGGAAGGGAGAAAGATAGAGAGTTAGAAACATCAATGAGAGAGAAACATCAACCAGCTGCCTCCTGCACATCTCCCACTGGGGATGTGCCCGCAAGCAAGGTACATGCCCTTGACCAGAATCGAATCCGGGACCCTTCAGTCCGCAGGCCGACGCTCTATCCACTGAGCCAAACTGGTTTTGGCCTGTTTTCATTTTTGATATCCTCTTTTTTCAAAACCTCCAACATCCCCGTTTTTCAGTAGATTTCCTTTGGTGGACTCTCCTGTTCCATTTAATTCTTTCATTAAAGACGGGCCTGTCCCTCCTTTTGCATCAGGCATCTTCTCAACAGCCCTTAGCACATCTTAGGGAAAACTGTTGATATTTCTCCCCAGCACTCAGACCCAACCTGATTAGCTAATCTTTAAGTTTACCTCTTACATCTTTTACTTATTCCATGTGGCTGCACAAGAAAACATTTAACAACCTCCTAGGGCTTTTTATGGTGCAAACATCAAAAAAATCAAACACCAAAACCCCATAGGTTACTCTGTAGAATTCACAACTACATTCCAAGATGATTTCTTTTTTTGTTCTGTACAGCTACGTATTAGAAAAGCAACTTAGGGAGACTTTCCTTGTACAAGATGCCTCTTAGGAAGTAGCTGCCTATTAAGAAAATTAATATTCCTTTATCCCAGCTTTCATGGGAACAATTTAATGCTCTGAAAGGATAAAATGTGATTTTAAAAACTTAACTCTTCGCAGAAGACTTCATTTCATATTTACTAGACATTCTTTGGAAATGCTTCAATCAGATCATTTCAAATCCCAAGATGCGGTATGAATTGATTAGCAGGAAATACATCCTGTGGTTTTTAAGCAGCAATTATGTTCCCCATCTTCCTTCAGAAATTTTGTTTAGAGAATCTTTCTCAAAAAACATGGGTAGGGAATACTTTGAGTTAACAGCCTGCAACCCTGACTAGAGATGAAAACAAACATGTGTACAATTAGATATCCTATCCTCACCTGACCCCCATTCTCGTCCCCAAACCACCACGTGGAGGCTTTGCCACTGAGGTCTAGACCAGCGATTTTCAAATGGTGTGCTGCAAGAATTTTTAAAAAAACATGCAATACCTGACTATTTAGTGAGGAACACTGACCTCTTTTCCCTTAAATTGTCAAATTTAAAAAGTGACAACAGTCAACGCAATAGCCATCTGGTATGAATAAATCAAAATTATACCTTTTTTTGTCAGATCAGCAAAAAATATTTTTTTGGTGTGCCGCAGAATTTTAGTAATTAAAATTATGTGTGCCATGAGATGAAAACGGTTGAACATCGCTGGTCTAGACCATTTTCTTAAGTGTCCTGATGAACAGCAAGCAAAGTGCAGTTGGTCACTGAAGAGCTACTGACATGCATTTCCAGCCCAGGCCATGTACAGCCTCCTCTCAGGCAGGGTTCCTGCTCTGGTCAAGAGGAGTTTTCTGTACCACATATTGTGAAAAGGGAAAATGCCCTTGACATTCTGAGAGCTCCACTTCTAAAATTAAGAGTGTTGCCTGACCCATACAGCTCAATGATTGAGCGTCGGCCTATGAACCAGGAGGTCATGGTTCCATTCTCGGTCAGGGCACTTGCCCAGGTTGCAGGCTCGATCCCCAGTGTGGGGCATGCAGGAAGCAGCTGATCGATGATTCTGTTTCATCATTGATGTTTCTCTCTCTCTCCATCTCCCTTCCTCTCTGAAATCAATTTTTTATATATATATATTGACCTCTTACTTTGGCCACATAAGAGTTCACTCTCTTGACTTGAGGGACATAATTCATGCCTTCTCATAATAGTCTCATAATATCCCCATGAGGGTCCAACCATGTCATGTAGCTTTCTACCCTGTTTCATTAGAATTCATTTCTAAAGCCGATTTCAGTGGGAGGGAAGATGGGTTCTTCCCCATGACAAGGTGATTTCTGAGTGTAGTGTGCACCTGGGAAGTACTCTTTGTTAAGGCAGCAGAGCAGCTCCTCTCAGGAGCATGAGGACCTGATTAAACACAATACCGACCTCCTCAGACAGCAGATGCGGGACAGGAAGGCTGAGGACTCTTTCTGATACTCCTCTCGGCTATTACATTCCTTCAGGAACTCCTGAAGATCTGTCTCAGGAAACCCATTCTGCTGGTATTTCTTCAAAAAGTACACAGTGTTGTTACCTTATGTATAAAGCATGAGAAATTGCTCCCTTTGTCAACAAACCAAACCCACCTTTGCTAAAATAAAGCTCTCCCACATTGCTAGGTCAGATCCAAGAACTGATATTAACAATGCTGAATCAATGTCAGTCCCAGAAGGCCAAGCCAGGGCCACCATGGAACTGAGAACAACCCAAAGGAAAACACCTCTGGTGCCAGGGTGAAGCAGGGGAAGGGTGTACTAGTAAGGGAAATAAAAGCAATAATCAGAAGGCTAAAGTTTTAAAACTAATGCAAGACCAGGTAAGACCCCCCCTTCCCCTCACTGCCCATGCAGAACCTGCTTGAGAAGTAATCTCTATTTCCTCTACTTTTATGGAAGAGGGTCACTTCGTGGGGCAGAAGGCAGTAGGTTCTTTCAAGCAGACACAAAAACCCTGAAGCCCTCTCCCCTCACGCTAAGTGAGGTCATCCACCGGGTTATCAAGACTTGGCCCGCTCACAGGGACACTGCCCCATCAAAGGCAGGGACCCAAGGGCAGCAGTGTGCAACAGTCTCTCTATACGCCCAGCCCTGCTGTTAGAGCCACACACCCACTCTCATGTGGAAACTAACCCACCCAGGCACAAAAATGTGCTCAGGAGTATTTCCAATGAATGAGCTTCTTCTGCGTTTAGTCTGAGAAGGTTCAAGAAGAGCACAACACCCCAAGGCACTGACATAGCACCCTTGGTTGCTCCAATGCTGGTCTGAAACAGGATTTCTGAGCACGACCACCTGCTGCTAGATGGGTCACCACCGGAGGCAACAGAGCGCCCTTCAAGCTACAAACCAGTTAAATGGACCCAGACTGAAAGGATACAGAACCCACTACATGGCTCAGGAAGATAGGAAGCTAAACAACACAAGAGCCTTAGTTTTCATCATTTAAAGGAAACCTGTATCACACAAATGGTTGAGTCATCCAGTATACTAGTATCGGTGTTCCAATATCTGAACAGTAGTCAGGATGGTGATGACCCCTTACCACTGACACTTAGCACTCAAAACCTAAGTTCCAGGACAGGCAGGTACACCTGTCAATGCTGTGACCAACAATTGAACTACTTAATTTACTAAACTCAACCCATCTCTACCCATTGCCTTTCTCTTTCCACCACACCTCCAAATCAGTCACCGTGATCTGGGTGACAGGGATGATGTCCTAAATGCATATTTAAAATTAAACTCCAACATCCAACAAGTCTCTTTTCTTCTATTTAAAAACAATTATTTATTAATTGATTTGAGAGAGAGAGAGATATATTAAAACATTGCTTTATTGTTCTTATTTATGCATCCATTGGTTTTTTCTTTTATTTGCCCTGACTGGGGATTAAAGCCACAACCTTGGCATAGCAGGATAATGCTCTGACCAACTCAGCTAGCCGACCAGGCCAACAGTCTCTTTCCTACAAAACTTCAACATTTAAGTAAAATATAGTATTTTAAGTAAGTGGGGGAAAAAGTAGCTTTTTCCTATGCTCCAATCTATATAGGTTTTTCCGTTTTCTTGGCAGGAAATCCTGATAATTACTTACCTTAATGGTGTCATAAGAATCTGTAATAAGCGCAATGAAAAGGCTGAGAATCATATATATAAAAAGGCTGATGAAGGAATATAAATATAGGCGACTGAACAGCCACACCAAGACGCTCTTCTGCTGGATTTGAGCAAAGGTTGCAAACATATCATCACCGTTGACCAGAGAAAACAGACACTCAGAAACTGTATTCAGAGCTACAAACTGAAGGGGGGAAACCAAAGTTAGTTTTCGAGATATATCATCCGAAAAAGCAGAGAAGTATCTATATCCAGTTAGCTTGTTTTGTCGAAGCTATTGTTGTCATTGCTATTATGAGTAACATCCATTTTAAGACAGCTAAAATACCAAAGCAGGAAAACATTATTTAAAACTCCCTTGCGCACTCACTATCTCTTGACATTTCCCTCAGTTTTTTCCTATACATTTTTATATATTTGTAGTCATGTCATCTAACCATTTTGGATCTTGATTTCTTTTTCCCTACTTAACATCATCTTACTTACACTTAGAGAGCATGTGTTAGATAACAGACCTTTCTTTAGAAATGTCAAGTTTAACTATTTCCCTGTCACTAGACATCCCAATAATAGTTGCTATTGTCAAGAGCAATGTAATGAACATTTCTAAGCATAATGTTTTTTTCCTGTTATTGGGTCTAAGTGATTAATATTTTTAAGCCTACAACCTGCTAAACAAACCACTTTCTGAAAGAACTATAGCAATACCATTGTACAACCAGCAATGATGGAAGTGCCTGAGACACAGTATAGGCTCAAGAAAATTTTGCTAAATGAATAGTTTCACTGTAGCCTTTCCAACCACGGGTCGGGGTGATTTTAGCACATTCAAAACAAAAGATGGTCATCAATGGGAGAGGGAAAGATGACCATCATGCCCAATGCCTTCAGGGGCTCCCGGCTAACAGTGGACAGGCCACAACCAACGTATTCCAGTGCCCTATGGGAGAGCTGGGGTGGGCTGTGTAAGGAAAGTGACCCTCAGAACCAGGGCCTGAGGCGGAGTTCACCAGTGAGAGGAGAAAGGGGTTTGCTCCGTGAATATGGGGAAATTCAGTGCTGAGCCTACGAGGCGGCCAGAGAGGCGTGCCTGTGCCACACTGAGAGAGCCTCACTCAGCCTTCCACGTACTTCAAACTATTACAGGCCAGAACCGGGAACCAGAAAAAAACTGCAGCCAGAGGGTGACCTGACCTGTTTCTAAAGGGCAACCCTGGCATGTAGTAGATCTCCTAGACTGGAAACAGCCCAGGGCAGGGACATGCGGCAGGGGTGAGTGCAGAAGCCAGGAATGCACAGGGTCCAGATAAGACTGGAAAAGGAGGAAACTGACGGGGAAATAAATCTAGGAGGGGACAAGGGAAAGGGACTAAGAATGGTCTCAGTTTTAGACAAGGCAGCTTGAGGTGCCAGGTGGAAATGTTGACATGAGGGAGTTGGAGGCATACATCTGGAGTTCGGAGCTGGTCTGAGGGTTGTGTTTCAACTGCAATCCCCAGGCGGCCATCCCAGGGTCTGTGGCTGACAAACTCCTGCCACATCGGCTAAAAACGAACAGCAGATGCTTCATAAACTAACATCTTAGGGCCAAAGGGTTAACATTAGATGGCAGCTTCTAAAGAACAATAATGACCTAACAGGTAAAAGATGGTATGGTTTTCAAAAACACCGAGGGAACAGGTACCTAGAGTTCTGAACCAAATTGTTAGCAGTGGGGGCCAAGTGCCCATTAAGTCAGTGTGGCTTTGGGGACAGCCATGTCCCTGGTGAATGTCTGCTGGAGGCAAAGACCAACAGGCAGTTAGCATAATAAATCCGAGAGAACAGTCAGAAGGCTGGTGGACCTTGGGGCTTTAGCAAGGGCTAAAAGCTATGCCCAGACTGTTCTGTCGAGACAATGGTGGCTGAAGGCATTCTCCTAACCCGTGGTAGGCAAACTGCGGCTCTCGAGCCACATGCGGCTTTTTTGCCCCTTGAGTGTGGCTCTTCCTAAGCCTTAGCAGTACCCTAATTAAGTTAATAACAATGTACTTACCTATATAGCTTAAGTTTAAAAAATTTGGCTCTCAAAAAGAAATTTCAATCGTTGTACTGTTGATATTTGGCTCTGTTGACTAATGAGTTTGCCGACCACTGTCCTAACCTGATCAACTTTTACTGTTTACCAAACCTTACCTTTGATATGTCTGTTTGGTTTGCTAAAGGGCAAATGTATATTCTAGTACAATGGTCGGCAAACTGCGGCCCCCTGAGTGTGGTTCTTCCACAAAATACCACGTGCAGGCGCGCACTTACAGTGCGATTGAAACTTCGTGGCCACACTCAAGGGGCCAAAGAGCCGCATGTGGCTCGCGAGCCGCAGTTTGCCAACCACTGTTCTAGTAAATAAAAAGCAGTAGGTCCGGAGGTTCGGGGAGCCACTCCACCAGAGTAGGTTTCCGCCTGGCTCCCCCCAATGCCTTCTAAATTTATATTTCTTATCTAGTATATCCATTTGTGTATGGCCCCTTCTCCAGATTCTGAATCCTTGCTGCAAAAGGTTGCAGCAAATGTCTACAAAACATCTCCACTTGGAAGTTGTACTACTACTTCATATGCAACAAAATAAAACCTCCCACCCCCTAACCCGGAAACTTGGCTTTCCTTCCAATTGTCCTGCTCCTGGTCAGTAATTTCAGTCTCCTACCAAAGACACATTTACTCCCAAATAATTGAGTACTTAAAACTATGTGTTGAATGGATTACTCTCCCACTCTCTTCACTCTGCGAAGGTCTGCTGCTCCGACGTTTCCCTGACCCAGTCTATCTACTCCACTCTCAGGTCCACACTCACATCTGGATTATTACAGAAACTCTGAGGAAGTCTCCTTCACTCCAGCCTCTTCACCCTCCAGTCCAAGCTGCTGTGGTAAAGTCTAAACTTCACAGAATGCAACCTTCGGGTCATTTCTCTTGCATTAAGATTATACAAAGTCTGGATGCAAAGTAAAAAAATCACACCAAGAAGGCTGGGATAGGCCCGCCTTTGCGTGGCTTCCTTCCATCTCCCCACTGTCAATATTATCTTGTGCTTTTCTCCTCCTACAACACCACACCCATTTCTCCATCTTTTCCTCATGGGATTTATTCTCTTCATCTGATACCTTCTCCTGTGTCCAACAAAGCCAACTTTGAAGGGCTATTTCAAGTCTACCTCGAGACAGATTGCCTTTGCAGCTCTAGTCCCTTCTGTGTAACAGTAAGAATCACAGCGTAAACTACTGCTTGGCCTTCTAATTGGTTTTGAACCCTTCTTCATACTCCAACTGGATGGAAACACCATGTCCGACCCTCCCTCCTCCATGACTGGATGTACAGGGTAAAGTCTGTGACCGGGGCAGTGGACACAAATGTAACCCCAACAGGGACCCTGCCCATGCCTGTGCTGCATCAGCACAGCTCCAGAACTGCTCTCCACAGAGACCTGGAGGGAACATCCAGTTGAGCAAAGCACAACAATATGCAAATTGTTTAACAGTAGGACAGGCAGTTCTCCGAGTACATATTGTCCATCTAGCCTTCAGAAAACTAAGTTAAAGCTGGTTTCTATGGCTAGCAATTACAACTCTAACAGCACCATTCATAATTCATGTTTCTCATAGTTTATTTTGGAATCTGGCCAATTCCTTTGTTTAGTTTCCACAACCCCTAACAGTCTGTGCTTCAGGTTCCAGAATTACAAATAGCTGGTTGGTTGGTACATATCCAATTCATCCCTTCGTTTCCAGTGCCATGACTCAGTGTCAGTTTAGAAACAATACCTGTCTCAACATTCATGTTATTCACAGCTGTTATGCTTCTCTCTCCTTCATGCGGGTGAGACTCATTTTAACCCAGCAAAAAGTCAAAACAGAGACGCAATAAGGTAAGTGACTGGCATACACCCTGTCATTGGTACCACAGGTGGCTGTGAACCAGTCACTTTCAGGGGCCAAACTCCACAGAAGTGAACATTAGAAGTAACCAAAGTGAGGAGAAGTGAGGTCCTAAGGTGCTTCCAGGCCAGAAGGACTGCATTTATAGAGAGTTGCTGTGGTTCTTAGGAACTTGTGAGCCCCTGGAAAGCAGGTACTACTGTCTCTCTGTTTCTTGTTCGGTAACAAACCTGGAGAATCCCTGCCATGTTCTGTGCTGGACCCGGGGGATGCAAGGGGCAATGAGCTATAGTCACTGCCCTCCAAGAACTCAGCCTAGAAGAACCTGACATGCTTGGAGCACAGTAGACATTTAATAAATATTAAATGGGTATTTCCATAAAGAGTCCCCATAGGACCTTTGGGACCACAGTGTGAACCCAAGCATTTGTTTCACAAATGATATTTTTAAATCGAACCAGAAAGAACTTTAAAAAAAAATTTAAATGAAAATATAACTTGCAACAGCTTATGTCAGAGAAGGACATAAAAATCGCATTCAAGAGCAATATTTAGGTTTAATGTTTTAACTGGCTAATAGTTCTTTTGAATAAGAGAGGTACTTGGCTAAAACTAGAGACTTTGAGAGCAGGATGATGTAATGCAGGTTCTGCCACAGTGTTTACCCATGGCATCAGCAAAGGCCAACAATGTTTCGATGCCTTGGTCTTCTCATTTCTGAAATGGGGACAATGCAAGACTATGATTTATTCTTCACAGCAAAGAAGTCCTCCGGAAATGTAAACGTTACTTTAGAGTAATATTCTTCCAGACCTGGTTTTGAATTATTAAACATCAACAGTCTCTAGCCCTTGGTGCCAGACATTTTGAAAGGGCACTGTGCCAAAGTCCATTAGTGCTGGTACCGATACCGGTGGGACACTGCTTGCATCTCTTCCCTCTTTCAACTGGAATCCAATGTCTACCATGAAAACAGGAAGCAAAAATATGGGTCCTGCTACCAGTCAAGCAGCAGTGTACAACTAGTTTTCCTGAGACCTCCTCTTTAGAGTGGCTGTAGAAACATCAATGATGAGAGAGAGTCATTGATTGGCTGCCTCCTGCACACCCCCCACTGGGGATTGAGTCCACAACCCAGGAATGTGCCCTGACCGGGAATAGAACCATGACCTCCTGGTACATAGGTTGATGCTCAACCACTGAGCCACGCCGACCGGGCTAGAGTGGATGGTTTGCTAAAAGAAAGAGTTAGCTTCTACACCTCAGGTGGCTATGATTCTAGATCCTAGGAAATGCTTGCTGTGCTGTCCAGCTTTTGAAGGCTTTGGGTACTACGGAAAGTCTTCTGATTCAACAGAGACTGACTGGCAGAACCTGAATGATTGACAGTTTGAATTAATTGGGGGGATGGGAGGAGAGACACAGAGGGCAGGAAGCATTTCTAACTTCAGACTCACAGAAGCAGCAATATGGAGAAGGAAAGCACGGAGTCCTGAGTCAGACTGAAGCTTTTCTTCTTCCACTGGCTGGTGCATTCAGTAAAGTAACTGAACTGTGCATTTCCCCAGTGGGTGGCGATGGGAGACAGACGCCATAGACGGGCCTGGTAGGCAGCCCTGGACACAGCCCTTATCCCTGCTCCTGTGGGGGAAACGGAGGCAGACGCTGAGACACACAGGTGGGAGGTGCAGCACGCACTATGGTAGCTGCCAGCCACATGTGGCTGTGGAGCACCTCCTGTGTTGTCAGGGTAAAATACACACTGAATTTCAAAGATTTAGTACACACACAAAAAAGAGTGTAATATATCTCAATGCCTACTAGTAAATAAAATATATAATTAAAATCACAATTTTATCTGTTTCTTTTAAAAAATTTTTCAATGTAGCTACTGGAAAATTTGAAGCCACCTGTGGTTCTCATTTGTAGCGCTCGCTGCCCTTTTTTGGGACAATGCTGGTCCAGAGCATCCCAGTCTCCCCCACATCCTTTGAAAGGACAGGATTAAACATATGAACATGCAGTCGGATCCTCAAAGCAAATAGAGAGAAATGAGACTGGTTATGTGGCTCTCCTCTCAGAGTTGATCTATTCAGTCAAACGAAACGCTCGTCTGCAATGGTCTGTTTTAGGCAATTCCAAGAAAAGCCCTACTGGGTATTGGTCAAAGATGGGTATTAGGGTCAGGCAACCTGGACGTGAATCCTATCTCTGCCATTTACTAGCTGTGTAGCCTCAGGAAAATTGTGGGACACAGTAAGATCCCCATTTCCTATGGGGCTACTGGGGGGTTAACATAGCAAGGGAGTTAAGGAACTTGGGTCCTATATCTATCTGGCACATAGCATTCAAGAATGGTAGCTATATTAGTAAAATTCAAGTAGCATTATCTGAGCACCTTCCAGGACAATGATGGGGTAGGGAGATGAAGGGCAAAAGAGATAGGACCACTTGGCCTGAGGCCTTGGAGCCTGTGAATTAAAGCTGAAATCTGTACCAGTAAACTTGGTATTTATTTCAGACAGTGCAACACTGTCCTCTAGTGACAAAAATCTGGAGAAGCATTCAAGAATGCGGCAAGTGAAGAAGAAAAATGTTAATTTTCCTGGGCACTCACACAGTTTGTTCTCCAGATCAGAGAGATTATATCAGAGAGCAAATTTCATCATGACTCAGTGGCAAGGAATAGGGAGAGCAGTGATATTATCAAGCTTTACTATGAACCCAGAGACTGTCACTTTGTTCACTATGCCTTTCCAACAGGAAAACAATGATTCTCTTCGGACGTATCAAATGCAACCCCAAAAGAGGAGGAAGCCTGAATATGTGCCAATTTACTAGGACATATTCAAATAGGACAACACACAGAGCTCGACCTTTCTGGATTGCTCACTTTTTGTGAACAGTGTATAAACCAGATATAAGCATATGTTTTGTTTAAGGCAATTGGAGAGGTCAGAGGTTGAGGCTGAGCTGTAATACAAGCATCAGTGTGACCCTTTGCACTTCACCTCTTTTCTCCTTGCACAGCACCTGAGCCAGGAGAACAGGACCAGGGGCTGCTGCGGAGATTAAACGAACGAGAGGACAGAAATGCTAAGCGCACAGTGTTGGCTGCTGTTATTTTTGTTGTATCTGTGGTTCCAACTGCCAGAGTCCCATGGAAGAAACACTACAAGTTGCAATAACTCCTTTTCCTTCCTTCCTTCCTTCCTTCCTTCCTTCCTTCCTTCCTTCCTTCCTTCCCTCCTTCCTTCCTCCCTCCCTCTCTCCCTTCCTTCCTTCCTTCCTTCCTTCGTTTTTTTGGTTTGAAAACAGGGCCTACCTACTTTCGTTTCTTGACGTTTCCACCAATCAACGTTATTACTTTAAAACAAGAAGAGCACAACTTTGATGTCCCTGAGGTTATGATGCTGACTGAAGCCCAGCAACAATTTGGAATTCTGATGCTGATCTTTTATAAGGCAGAGGCGATGCTGCCATCAAAACCACCATCACAGACAAGACGTGTTTCATTTTAATCATAAACCTAATATGGTCCATTCTGGGCACTCTGTTCACCTTTGTTCTCCTCAATTAATTGGGATGAAAACCCTAATACATTAAATTAGAAAGATTATGTAATAATTTCCCCCATTCTATTTTCATTTTTATTATAGGATCTCATGTCCAGACTTTTCTTATTTGACAACTGGCTGGGTTGGAATGTGGCCCATAAACCAGGCCCAGACAACTCTGAAATGTGCTCTCCACTCCCTCACAGTGGTTTCAACATCCAGTAAAAGGAAAGGAAAAGAAACCGATGCAAAGACATGGCTTTCCTGACGCTGAGGGTATGTGCTGGGGGAGTAGGAAGAAGGTTGTCCTGGAAGCCCACTTCTCAGGTGCCTAATTTGCAGAAGGAAGAACCAGGGCTACACACCTTGTTGTGATAGGGGCCCAATACGATCCAGCCACAGAAGGTGTAACCCAGGTAGATCATCCCCGCGCAGGCGCAGAAGCGAAGCACCTTGGGCAGGGAGGCTTGCATTGTTAAAATGAGCACCTGAAAAGACACCAGCAGCGCGGGGGGCATTACAAAGGAGCTTACTGGAACCCGAAGAAGACATGAATCTCAATCCTATGACACGACCCAATGCCACATCCTTACATTATATTTTTGGAAGTAACCCAGGTATCTGATGACTCCGACCCAGACAAGAAGCGTGGATGTTCCAAGCAAAATGCTGCACAGATCGTAATTTGTGATATTCTAAGGAATGGAGAAACAGATATGAGTGACATATTCTATTCCCCTCAGCTTATTAATCTCACTTTAAGTTGATAGGAAAAGAATGGACTGCCTGCTCTCTATAGGTGAACCTAGGGCATTTAAACTGAAGAGGAGAGTAATAGAGAGCACAGTCCCAAATGTGTTTCTTCTTTCCTTTTAGTATTTCAATTGGCTGAACTGATTTTTTGTTCAAATAATATCCTGAAACAGAAAATGCATTTACTTAGGCATTAAAGAATATAAACTAATGGTGTTTGTTAAATATGAAACGATGCCAGTCAGCTACTTCTGAAAGAAAGCTCAAACGTGATTGACTAAGACAGTTCTGTTCTTGAGGATTACTGGATCTAATTGAGGAGATACACACACAACCACAATCCTATATAATAAAGCAGTAATATGCAAATTGACTGTCACACCCTCGCCCAATATGGCCACCCCCATGTGGTCAAAAGATGGCCACCACAAGATGGCCAGAAGGAGAGGGCAGTTAGGGGCAACCAGGCCAGCAGGGGAGGGCAGTTGGGGGCAACCAGGCTGGCAGGGGAGGGCAGTTGGGGGTGACCTAGCTGGCAGGGGAGCAGTTAGGCATCAATCAGGCTGACAGGAGAGTGGTTATGGGGCGATCAGGCTGGCAGGCAGGCAAGCGGTTGGGAGCCAGCAGTCGTGGATTGTGAGAGGGATGTCCCTGTGGGATCGGGCCTAAACCAGCAGTCGGACATCCCCCGAGGGGTCCCAGATTAGAGAGGGTGCAGGCTGGGCTGAGGGACAACCCCCTCCAGTGCATGAATTTCATGCACCAGGCCTCTAGTTTTAATATAATATGCTAAGTGCAGTGAGAGATGCAGTGCCCAGCTTGTCACAAAGCATTTCCCATGGGCATGACCCAGAGTGGGGCTGGGCCTGGGGGACAGGCTGGGGGAGAGCATTGCAGGTAAATGGACAAAAGACTGAACCAGGGCCCAATGCTAAGAGCCAGAAAGTTGTGCTAGAGGGTCAGTATGGATGGCTCAGTGAATCTCAGGCAGGAGAGGGAGGCAGAGCTAGATGAGAGGACCCTGGAGGCCACTCCACTCAAGGGGGTTCCCATGAGAAGGGACTGTAACAGCAGGATAGAAACTTCCAGGGACTTTCCTCTGACAGCTGTGTAAGTGGATCTGAGGGATGTAAGGCTGAAGGCGGACAAGCAATGAGGAGACGGCTGCAGCAGTCCAGGCCAGAGAGGAGCTGGCCCGAAGGAAGCCAGAGGTCGTCAGGATGGACAAGCAGGAGCTATGTTAGTGTCAGGAGGGAAAGTTAGACTCCCCGATGGACAGCACAGCCTGGAGGGGAGAATATCTGGGTGAAGGGTCAAGACTTTGTCATAAGATCAAATCAACTAAGTTCTATGCAGTCAGGCACCTAGCAGACACTCTAATAGTCCTGCCCTCACCCCCATCTGCCAGAGCACCCACTTGGAAGGACTGGCTCTTGATAGAACTGGTTCATGGGTCACTGCTTCTCCTGCAATTAAAAAAAAAATGAAACCCACCCAAACAACCAATCTTCTCAAACTTCAGTTCCTATGCTCAAGAAGCTGCAAGTTTCCTGGGGATATTCATAGGGATATCATCTCCCCCAAAACATCAGTTTCCTTATGTTCCCTCCACAAGGAATCAGGTCAGAGGAGGCTTCCGATATATGGAAGTGAGAAAAGAGAAAACATGAGAATCAAACTAGTCTCCACAAGGCTTTAATATCCTAAAGGATCATCCAGGATAGAAAGAGCAGCAGACTTAACATGGGTGGCCCCTCACCTTCACTTGAATTTCCATTTTGAGGATGGATCCAATGATTGTCATGAGGTCGCTGATAATCACCAGGACATACCAGCCATTGATGAACTCCCACTGGTCAGCATTACACACGTGTCGCTGGTACTTCTCCAGGAAGAAATTTAGAAATCTCTGCAGCAAACATTTTAAAAAGTATTTCTTACACACCACACTGCCCTCTGGAAGGAGAAGTTAAGTGCCAAACAGAGCTCTCACCTGTAACATGATACGGTGTTACCTACCCAGCTCCATAGATCCATCTCAAGGCTGGAGATTATGCCCACACTTCCCCCCTCACCTGCCCAGCCAGACTAAAGCCTTCAAGTGCCTACCAAGTGAACTCAAAGATTATATGCTTATGCTCTTCTCTCCAACAGACTCTTGTAAGAGCTGGCACACAGTACATCCCAAATACATTACTTTATCACCTCATTCAACCAGACAGCACCCTATGAACCAAGCATTAGTAGCCTGATCTTCCAGAGGAGAGAACTGAGGCTGGGGAGGCGGGGCCAGGATGGGCGCCCAGGCATTCCAGCTCCAGTGTATGTGCTCCCAATGCCCACCCCCTCTGCTTAGGCAGAACCAGGACCCTGACCTGGGATCAGAGTATCAGGGGACTTGCAGGGAAGGGGCAGTAAGACAAGCGGATATTTACAAAATAAGTTGACAGAGGTCAAGAATGAGAACAATAGAATGAAGACTGTTTTCTTGCTCCACCAATGGCATGCTGATGACTTCATGCACCTGTCCCCATTCTGCATTTCCACACACGCCACAAACCAGAGTAAGATTTGTGGGGAGCTGGGATATATCTTCACAAGAGCCCTGAGAGTAACAAGGTGAAATGAAACTCAGGAGAATTTTCAAGCTATTTAAAATATAGACTAAAGTATTTTATGCTTCCTTATAACCCATGTATCATGCCCCCTGTCAAAATGAAATCTGATTTGAAGGCAAAAGATGAAACCCACACATGCTATTATTCTGTTCTTAAGATTTACTCCTGAATTCAAAAGGGTCTCCTTTATTCTGGAAACATTCAAGAGCTTGAGAGCTCACCATTGTGCAACTGTGCTCATTAGCTCAGTTTTAAGCAAGATAATTATCTGATCCCACCTGACATGGCGGGAGCTTGCACTCACCCTCCGCACCTCAGGTTGATGAATGCCTTTTCGGGGGCAATCACTCAAAGGAACCTATTTAGCCAAGGGCTCCAGAAAGGACAGGATGACCCAACACCAGGGCCCACTGTTTGGACAAACTGAGGGTGGAGGCCAAGAGGGGAGGAAGAAAATGCCAGCACACATACCTTTCGTAAGCGTAAAGCAAGAACAATGGATCTGGTGCACAGAATCAGAGACGCCACGCAAATCACAATGACGAACGAATCAAATGCCAGCACATACTGAGCATTCTTCTGAACTGAGGAACAAAAACAGAATCCAAATGATAAACACATCTCACTGGGGAATAGTTTCTGACAAGATGGTCATCAAAAAAGAAGTTCAAATGATAAATTCAAAAAACATCAGAAACAAATCACAATACATTTACTCAAAAGTCTACAAAGAAGGTAAAACTTTTCCTGTTATTAAGACTTATACATTTAAAAACATATAAACTCTTAAGAGATGTACTAAAATGTATTTGTAAATATTTACATAGACTATAATTTGACAGAAGGTGGTCCATTCGGGCTCCATTCATAAGCGGCAAAACTATTGACATACTCTGAGGTCTTTCACATACAAGCACAAACATCACGTTCTCCATTAATGAGGAAACAAACAATTTAAAATGCCTCTGACTCAGACTCCCCATTTCTGTTTCTCAACCTTACTGTGCACTTTCCCAGCATTCAATAAGCTCTTTCTGCACATGGAGAAAATAGCCACTTGGAATGGTAGTAAGGAGGAGAGTATGTCTTGGAACACAGTAGCATGGGGAATGTACTGGAGGAAGATGAAATTGTAACCTTAGCTTCTCTCAGACTTCATGGAATTATCCCAAATACCAACGATGGCTCTCTCCTGCCTGGCTCCCCTGTCCATCCCTGCAGTCCCATCACCTGCCAATTGCTTCTCTCCCCTCATCTTCTCTATCCTGAGGCCATACTTCTTCTCACCTCCTATCAGGTTCTCTCTCGCTCTTGCCTCAGGGGCTTTGCACATGATGATCCCTCTGCCTGGAACAGCACTCTCTCCATCACACGTTAATATTATTCTTTTTCTCCCTAACTGGTTTGGCTCAGTGGATAGAGCATTGGCCTGCAGACTCAAAGGTCCAAGGTTCAATTCCGGTCGAGGGCATGTACCTTGGTTTCGGGCACACACCCAGTAGGGAGTGTGCAGGAGGCAGCTGATCGATGTTTCTAAATCTCTATCCCTCTTCCTTCCTCTCTGTAAAAAATCAATAAAATATATTTTTTTTAAAAATTGTTCTTTTTCAGCCTTAGGTTTCAAAGTGAGTATCATCTTCTCAGAATAAAATTCCCTAAATTCCCATCTTTATTAGCCCCTCCCCTACTCTCACAGCACTCTCCATAATGTACACACCTATAGTCTCCTTTGCTTGATGACCACTGAACTTGAAATTACACCTTCAAAGAGAGCACAGCAAGGAACAGAGATGGTGAAAAATGGAAAGGACATGGCCTCTGGGGCCTGAAAACCTGGGTCTGAATCTCAGCTCTGCACTCAGAAGCTGAGCAGCCTTAGGGAAGGTGCCTCAGGTTCCTCACCCAAAAAGTGGGTAAAAACAACAACAAAACTAATCATAGGGATGTTGTGAAGATTAAATAAGTTCATATATGAAAGCACAGGAAACAGCCCAGGTAAACAGCAAACACCATGGTTACCATGGAATCATTCAATGCCCAACTTCCCCACCAAATGGTTGGCTCTGGGAGGCAGGGATCAAATGTATTTTGTCAACACGACAGTGCCTTTGCTTAGCATAATGCTTCCGCGTGCTTACAAGTAAATGCAAGGACTCCAGCAGAACATGAGAAGAGCACCGAATAATCTAAGAACTTGTGAAGGTCTGAGCTAAGTCAGAGGCAGAAAAGGCACAGAAGGAGGAGGCACAAAGTGGTGAGAGATGAAGCAGAGAGAGGCAGCATGGTCTCCAAGGGGACTCAGGGAACAAGGAAGAAGGACCAAGCAGACACGACTCCTGGTTTTCTGTCCTCCATAAACTGAGCTCAGTCTAAATGTCCATGACGAGAGAGGATGGCTCGGTGGCAGCTAAAGCCATGAGTGTGGGCACAGGCACTCAGACCACAGAAAGAAAAGTAGACAGAGGGCAGGGGGGCAGTAATGCTTGAGAATTAGAAGAGGAAATGAGCTCAGGAACGAGATGGAGAAAGGCCAGAGGAGAAGGAAACAGCACTGGGGACAGGCAACCTTCCAAGGAGTCCAAGGTCAGAGTGCTCCTCAGCGACACCTCTGCAGAGAAGCGTTTAAGAGAGAGATTGGAGTTTCCGCAGACTTACTAATAACAAGGGTGTGAGTGACAACAGCATGAGTGTCCGAGGGTAAAGCTGCTCACCAGTGGGTTATGACCACAGCCAGCCAATGCATGTAACTCACTGAGTGAACTATTGAGCCTCGCTAAGCAGGCGTCAGGTGCCTAGGCTACAAAGTGGGGGAAGCAACAGTGCCTGCCTCAAGGGCTGTCAGAAAAGCAGATAAGACATCCAGGTGAAACCAGGTAACATGCCTGACACCTAGCACTGACATTTACCTTTAGTCATTTTATACTTCAGAAGTTTAGATAAAAAAGCAAAGCAACTTAATTTGACTAGAATCCAAGACTTCCTTCCTTCCTTCCTTCCTTCCTTCCTTCCTGAAGGATTAGAGGCAGTTCGTGGGAAAATGGGACTGAAAATCCATAAAATGCAAGGACAGCATCTAGTACCTTCCTGTCTAACATTTAACTAGACCAAATCTCTAAGACTGCTCGTAGTGAGAAAACTGAGGCCCAGAGCTAGAAAGAGAAACCATCCCTCATCACAGAGAAAACAGTATTGTATTGTTTTACTTTATTAGGAAGATGAGTTTGGTGTGCCACAGAAAGTATTTTATGAACACTGTAATTGCTTTCTTACTCTACTGAAACTCGGTTGCCCCTGTGGGAACATTGCCCAAACCTAGGTGTGTAAAACACTAGTCCAGGTTTGTAAAACACCATTACTGCCTGCCTGTGTGGCTCTAACCCAGGGCTTCCCACACTTACTAAACTCCCTTGCCCTATGACACCCATTACATCAGCCATCAATGGGGAGTCCTGCCCACCAATACCTCCTCCAGCCCCTCATGCCCAAATTGCTACATTCATAAAATCAAGTTAAAGTGGAGATTAATGGCACACTTGGGAACGGGTATTAGAAGTCAAAAGAAGCAACATCTGGTTTGTATATGAAAGTGGGCATTCCCTCATATTTCACCCTGAGATAACATAGGCAATGATGAGAGGGAGAGTATATGAATGTGAATGAACTCAGAAGTTTTGGAAATAGCACAAGGATCTCACCAGATGTTACCCTTGCCTTTTCCTACTTCTTGTCTTTCCACTTCCCCGAAGCCAGGCCAATCAATCAGACTGGGGGAGGAAGGGGACACGTGGAAAGTTTTCACATCATTTTATTTTAAATTCATATTTTCCTAGTGACAGAATCTGGTTTCTTACTACACAGCTCTGGAAGCCTATAAAAATGTTAGTGTTTCTCCTCACTGGCCACAGGAGGGAGCCAGACCTCCTTTCTTCTTTTTTTAAAAGTTATTTTTTAATCATTTTTTAATTTTTCAATTACAGTTGGCATACAATATTACATTAGTTTCAGGTGTACACCCCAGTGATTAGACATTATATAACTTACTAAGTCAGTGATGGTGAACCTATGACACGCGTGTCAGAGGTGACACGCGAACTCATTTTTTTGGTTGATTTTTCTTTGTTAAATGGCATTTAAATATATAAAATAAATATCAAAAATATAAATCTTTGTTTTACTATGGTTGCAAATATCAAAAAATTTCTATATGTGACACGGCACCAGAGTTAAGTTAGGGTTTTTCAAAATGCTGACACGCCGAGCTCAAAAGGTTTGCCATCACTGTACTAAGTACTCATCCTGATAAATCTCATACTCATCTTACACCATAGTTATTAGAATATTATTGACTATATTTCCTATGCTGTACTTTACATCCCCATGACTATTCTGTTACTATCAGCTTGTGCTTCTTAATTCTTTACCCAACTTCCAACCCCCTCCCATCTGGCAATCATCAAAATGGTCTCTGTTTCTATGCATCTTTCTGTTCTGCTTGTTTGTTTATTTCATTTTTTAGAATCAATTGTTGATAGATATGTATTTATTGGCACTTTATTATTCATATTTTTTCTCTTTTCCTTCGTCAAGAAATATTTTATATAATACTGGTTTGGTGGTAATAAAAAAGGGGGGGCATGGAAACGATAAAAAAAGAACCAGAACCAGTCCGAAATGAAGGATACACTAACTGAAATGAAGAATAATTGACAGGGAATCAACAGTAGAGAAGATGAAGCCAAGAATCAAAAGAGCAATTAGGAGTATAAGGAAGCAAAAAATACCTATTCAGAACAGCATAAAGAAAAAAGAATCCCCCACCCCACCCTAAAATGAGGATATTGTAAGGAGCCTCTGGGACAACTTCAAGCAAACCAACATTCACATCATGGGGTGTTGGAAGCAGAAGAGAGAGAGCAAGAAATTGAAAACCTATTTGAAAAAATAATGATAGAAAACGTAGGGAAGTTTTCTCCAGTCAAAATTAACCTTTGCTTTCTTTACCATCATGCCTTTTGTACCTCCACCACTTATGGCTATCCATGACATATTGGAGATTTTATAAGCATGTCTGTCTCCCTCACTAAGGTGTTTTCTCTCTTCTCCAGAGTGCCTAGCAATTACTATGTGCCAACTCTTGTTCTCAGTGCTTTGCTTTACATTCTAACTCATTTAATACACAACATAATGGAAGGTAAGTACTATTATCACCCTCATTTTGAAAAGTACTGAGACATAGAAAGGTTAAATAATTTGTCCAAGATCACAGACATAGTAAACAGAACCAAGACCCAAACCTAGGCAGTCTGGCTGCCAGGGTTGTACCCTAAGCACTGGGCATGCTGCCTCTTCTAAGAGGTATATAATCAATATTTGCTGAATTTAACAAAAATGCAAAATTTCTGGCTATGCTTTATAGAATCTAATGCTCAAGATCTGATTTTCTGGATCCCTTTCTTTTGTCACCATCTAAGTCAACGATGTAAACACCTGAAATTCCAAAATAAAATGCTAAAAATCCTCCAATGGGCAAGCATGTAAGATACTTACCAGATCCAGATATGTTTAAGTCTCTACATTCTTCAATGTTAGCATCACTGTCAAAATAGATTTTGATTTTGCCACTGTGAGCTTTGTTGTCAAAGGTAATCTGGAAACACAAATGTATGAAGAGCAGAATATATGACTTGTTAGATCAACTCTGCTTAAAATTTTAATAGCATCCAAACAGCAGGCTGATCCAAAAATAGTACTGATGAAAATGTCCTCATCACATGATTCTTCAAAACTTTCATTAATGAAAAAACAGGGTCCAAAGGCAGCTTTGTGTGAACTTCTACTAAATCCACAAGCAGGGTGGGAAAAATCCAAAAGCAAAACAGCCAGCTAGTCCCAGGAACAAACATGAAATTCACCATCTTTGACAAGAGAACACAGTCACCTCACTGATTACACTGAATAGAATCCAAAAGCATTTGCTTCAAGTTAGCCTTTGGGGTATGAAATTCTAGGTTTCTACTAGGTTGGAGATTAGTTTTCTGTTCACCTCAAGTGCTATATATAATGCTTTCAGAAATGGCAAAGAATGCCCTAAGGCTGCAGGCTGAATTTAAGATTGCCAATGACTCATATCTTCCACTGTTACACTTTCATCACTTAAAATTTGTAAGTGAAATATGCTGGGTATTTTAGGTCTTGAGAGAAGTATATTTGGGGTTTTCCTTGGGGGAAATGAGACCTCAAGTGCCAGGGTTAGTGGAGGTTTAGTCATAACTCAGAGATATAGAAATGAGGCCTGTAGGTTGAGTTCTCGAACCTCTAGCTTGGTCATAGTGATATAATTGGGTTACACAGAGTGTGGCTTGTGTTCAGAGATGCCCAATGCTTATAGATTTACTCATAGATCAGCTACTAGTACACTTTCAGCTCTCAAGTTCTCTGCCTGTGGACTTTCTTAATTTCATCATGTGATTCATAATGTGTAGGTCACTCCACAGCAGCTAATCCTGCTCTTCTCTTCCTTACCACAAGTCACCATTAGTAATTACTTTTATTTCTTTACTTGTTTTTCTCTCTCTTCCACTGAGCTGTAAGCTTCCACTGCACCTCTAGAGCAGGGCCGTGTCTGGTGCAGAGTAGGGACTCATTAGTATTTATGGACTATTGGGTAGAGTGCTCTCCTGAGTTGCTAAAAGATAATTGCATACAACTTTCAGCTCAGCATTCAGTTTTGCTCTTCCATGAACATGAAGAAGGGAGGGAGGGAGGGAGGGAGGGAAGGAAGCAGGGAGGGAAAAAGGAAAGGAAAAGAGAGGGAGAAAAGAAGGGCATGAAATTCCATGAAAGTGAAGAGGGAAGGAAGCAGGGAGGGAAAAAGGAAGGGAAAAGGGAGGGAGAAAAGAAGGGCATGAAATTCCATGAAAGTGAGAAGACAGGTTACTGTCCCTGCAAAACTGAACAGTCTCTTCATTGCACTCGCCTCCTCCCAAAATAAAAGGAACAACAACTGATCCTCTGCAGAATGGCCTTCAGATCAAGGGGGCAGTCTGCCTGGAGGTTTGAAAGCGTTTGCTACATTTGCAAAGACCTTTCTTTGAAAGTGGGGAAAATATTACAGACACTTAAAACACTTGTCATAAACTTTTAAAAAATGTTTTAGAAGAGTAAGAGGTCAAAGCCAATTTTGGAAACTTCTCTTTTCAACGCAGAAATTTAGTTTTTTAAAACATTGGAAAAGGCTTTGCTTCATTTTCAGAAGAAAGGGTCTCTGGATGAACAATGCTATCGTGTCATTCAACTCTTTTAAACACAACTGCATCTGACACAGCTATAGGCTGGTGTGTTTTGCACTGTGCATCTACGGAAGGAGGGAAGCATAAGAAACAGTGGCTGAGTAAACAGACACTTGCCGTATTCTGAAAGACGTAACAGTCCGGTAACTCTCGGGAAAGCATCGTCTGCAGGTCAATGCCTTTGAGGTGAAAGGAGATTTCAACCTGTAGGAGCCTGAATAAAAAATATCACAAGGTATACATTGTCAGAGTCTTACTATCTACTCTCCTTCCCTCCCTCATGCCTGTCTCCTGGGAAACGAGACTGAAAACATATTTACCTATAAAATTCCAGTCTGAAGAATGATGAGTTCTTCCAATCCTCAGTGTTCTTGGAGAGGCCCTGGAGGTCCAAGTAAATGCAGTCTAGACCAATGGGGAACAACAATTGCTTCAGGCAAAAATCAGATGCTAAAACCAGTGGGCGAAGGGCGATGAGAAGCAGAACACTTCCAACGTATCTCCCCACAGAGTACTTATGAGTTACAACATGAAGACCGGTAACTACAGTGGAGAAGCTGGCAGATAGCAGCACCCTGCCCAAGTGATCCAAGTTAACATCGCCAGTAATGAGATAAAAAAGACACCTCCGGAAATAATGTACTGCTTGTGTGCTATTCCCGCTAACAAGCATAACCCCAATCTAGTCATAAAGAAACAGAACAACCCAAAGTGAGGAACATTTTACTCTTTAAAAATGTCAAAATCAGCCCCTGGCCAGTGTGGCTCAGTTGGTTGAACATTGTCCCACGCACCAAGAGGTCGCAGGTTCAATTCCCGTTCAGGGCACAATACCCAGGTTGCAGTTAGATACCCGGTCTGGGTGCATACGCACATCAATGTTTTTTTGTGTGTGTGTGTGTTTTCTCTCTCTCTCCCCTTCTCTCTCTCTAAAATAAATAAAAACATACTTTTTAAAAAATGTCAAGGTCATAAAAAAACAACACCACCACCAACCCAACAACAAACCAAGGTACTATTTTGCTCCAGATTAAAGGAGACTAAAGAGGCATGACAAGTAAATGCAGTATGTGATCCTGGACCAAGGAGGTTGGGATGGGAGGGGGCCTTTCTTTTGCTATAGAGAACATGAGGGCAATTGATGGGATGTGAATAGGGTTTGTAGATTAAAGTGCTGTGCCAATGCTTATTTGTGATTTTGAGCACTGTTCAGGGGTGATGTGGGAGACCGTTCTGGGAAACACACACTGGAATATTTACAGGTAAAAAGACATCATGTCAGCCTCTTATTCTCATACATTTCAGGAGGAATATTTAAACATAGGAAGAATGATAAAGCAAATGTGGTAAAAGGTTAGCACTGGGGAAATCTAGATGAAAGGTATACAAGGAAATCGCTCTGTTATTTCGCAACTTTTCTGTATCATCTGATATTTTTTCAAAATAAAAACTAAAGAGAAAGGAACTTAGGTTGTATTCAAATAAAAATATAATATGAGCTATAAACTATAAAAGAATGAGTCCAAGAGCCTCATATGAAACGTGTCTCATTACTGTGTAGCCCAACACCATGGCAGGAACCTGAGGAGGCCTAGAGCTGGAAAACGCCTTTCTAGGGCACAGAGCCCTCACAGACTGCTGTGAAGTCTGCCTCACTGACTCCTACTGGGGCTCTGGCTGCCTTTAAAATGGAAACGCCAGCCCAGCCAGTATGGCTCAGTGGCTGAGCATCGACCTATGAACAGGAGGTTACAGTTCGATTCCCGGTCAAGCCATATGTTCAGGTTGCGGGCTTGATCCCCAGTGTGGGGCGTGTGGAAGGCAGATGATCAATGATTCCCTCTCATCATTGATGTTTCTATCTCTCTCTCCCTCTCTCTTTCTCTCTGAAATCAATAAAAATATTTTAAAAATAAAATAAAATGGAAATGCCAGGGCTGGTTCTCAGTAGGTGCTCCAGAATCTTGGTAGACCCGGTGGCTAATTCTTTAATAGTCCTTTCCCACAACTGCAATCCTCTATTTGCTTATCTATCCTATCAACTAGAGAATAAGATCTTTGTGAACAAGAGCATATTATGTTGTGTGGTTGTCCCATTGCATATAGCTGACACCCAAAATATGTCACAACATACAGGACACACTTATATTTTGTGAAAATTCATTTTCCTGGGCTGAAAACAAGGACATGAGCTGAATGGACAACTCAACAGGCACAATATTAAGAAAGGCAGGTGTCAGAAGGGATGCCTCCTTATTTTTGGTAAATAGATTATTAATGTCAAGAAACAGTTTAGAGAGACTCCACCAAGATGGCGGCATAGGTAAACACAGGAGACTGCTGCCGCAAACAACCACTTCAAAAATACAACTAAAAGACGGAACGGAATGTTGAATCTTGTTTAATATGGTGAGAGCAGTTAATCACAAGAAACTTATTCTCTAAAGGAAAAGACTAATGATGATAAAAAGAGCAATTATATGTCAGGCACTTACTCTGTGCCAGGCACTGTGCTAGAAGCTTTATATGTTCTCTCCTTTAATGCACCATCCTGTTTAAACCCAAAGCAACCTTGTAAGATAGGTACTATTGCTGAAATTTTGCAGATGGACAAACCAAGGCACAGAGAGGCCAAGAGACTTTCTCAAGGTCACACAAGCTAGCTGATGGCAAACCAGAATTTAAACCCATATGTGTTCAGTCCCACAGCCTGAGCTCTTCACAGTTCACGGATGTTAAAGTTGCCTTATAAAAACCTGTTTGGTTGGTCAAGTTTTATCGTTGTAATTATGGGGGTGCACTTTATCAACTATACATGCAGAACTCTCTAAAATCTGGTTGACCTTATGCTAGAGTCATTGCTAATGAGGCCACCAAGAACCTGGTGACAGCAAAACCTAAGAACTTTTTTAAAGGATGGCAAGAGCCCTAACTAAAACATCAAAGCTCAGACAGAACAAACTGGTATCAGAGTAGCAGACTCTTCACTCAAATCAACCTCGATCACAGAACAGACACTCCAGCAAATGAAACAGCAACCTTCATAGGGACAATTGAAGGGTGGATTACATATGCTCTTTAAAAAAGCTGGGCGAGTGATGAAATGGTCAGGATGCCTCATGCTAAGAAAGGAGAACAGAAGAAATTTAAATCCGTCTTACAGAAAATGAAACACTATATAAGAACTAGAGGCCTGACGCACGAAATTCATGCAAGGGGCTTGGCCCTCACAGCCCCGGCTTCGTCGGGAAGGTCATTTGGCTGTTCAGTCTAATTAGCATATTAGCTCTTTATTATTAAGATGATCGTTACCTAAATGTTTAAAAACATTTTTTAACAGGACTTATAACTCCCCCAAGTAAGGCTGAACTATAAAGCTACAGGCCTAGAGGGAGGAGTGGAGGGATAGGCCCACAGCATGAATGATAGGAAACCCTTCACACCAGCTGCACAGACATGTAAATAAATATTAATCTGCAGAGTGAACAGGCATGCAGGAGAGCTCTGCATTTAGCCCACTGAAGGGTGATTCTCTTAATAGGAAAGAGAATGCAAATTCATGAATAGGTAACAGAACACCTTCTGCTACGTGACCTACTAAGACCATACCATTGATGTCCAACTCAATCCCTATTCATTTCATCTGCAGGCTTCCTCCAATGTGTCCAAGAAAAGAGAGGCTAAAATCCAGCATTAAGTATTTAAGACTATTCTTTATACCTTCTGAATAGACACAGCAAAACATTTTCTTTGACAAGTTATATTTAATAAGTTAAAGAATACAATTAACTTAAGTAGTCTCCCTTAAAGTCAAATGAATAATCAACCTCTCTCCATTTGGTTAAAAATATTCCATATTCTGATAGAAAGGAAATGAGCAAGTGCATCACTGTCCAATGGCCAGGGGGAAAATTCTACTTTCTGGGACTGCCTGTCCTACCTCGCCACTGATACTGACTTTGGCCAGATTTCTTTAATCCATTTTTAAAGAAAAATCAATGGAGGAAAATGACATATGAATCACTGGAAAATAGTTGTATGATGCATCCAACTGAGTCACACGTTTTTACGAGGACTCGTGGCCGCTGGCTTACTTGAAGCGGAGGGTCACTGCTCAAGGTTTCAGTTCCACCTGTCAGGCACTCCCATCAGTGATAGGAACACCTCCCTTCAGGTAGGAGCGGAGCTGACAGCCTCAGGGAAGATTCAGGGTGAACCGATTAGCCCCTGATTGCTGTCTACCAAATAGATCTCAGGAGAGCAAAACCTGCGGGGCAACCAGACAAGCCACTTTAAAGGTTGCTGCCCACAGAGCCAGCGCTGACACCTGACACCGAGATGACCTCGGAAAGCCACCTGGGGCCCTTACGGTCCTGGCTCAGGAGCTGCTTCTCTCAGAGCCAAGAGCACAGGACACACCTGCCCATGCGGAGAGTCTAGCCAGGCAGTCTGTGCAAACAATCAGAACCTCTGCCTACGCGGGTGTTCTACTCTATTGCCAAGAACCCTTAAAAACCAGATCATAGGAAATAGGGTCAAATGAATGGTGTGAAGCTCTCCTTTTGATAAAACCACTTCAAATGCAAACTGCTCCTAGGATCCCTACTCCCGAACTGTCATCTAGCTGAGGCGCTATCACTGATTAATTGCTGCAAGCCCAGTGTAGTCATGCACGGATTACCACAGGGTTACCTTCTGAGAAATGTGGCAATTCCATCATTTTGTGAACATCAGAGAGGGCACTTACACAAACCTAGATGGTATAGCCTACCACACACCTACGTTAATTGGTACCAGTGGTCGGCAAACTCATTAGTCAACAGAGCCAAATATCAACAGTACAACGATTGAAGTTTCTTTTGAGAGCCAAATTTTTTAAACTTAAACTATATAGGTAGGTACATTGTTATTAACTTAATTAGGGTATTCCTAAGGCTTAGGAAGAGCCACACTCAAGGGGCCAAGGAGCCGCATGTGGCTCGCGAGCCGCAGTTTGCCGACCATGGGTATAGCCCATTGCTCTCTAGAGTAATTTTCCCTCTACCCTTCTGGGTTCTCGCTGAGTCATCCCTGTAATAAAAGACAGATTGATAGGAGAAAACAAACAAAAGTTTAATAACATGTATACCTGCTATATACAGAGACCCAGGAAAATGGAAGCCACCAACTGCCTTAAATACCACCTTCAGCTGAGGACAAAAGAAGATGTTGGGGGTGGGGAGGGTCAGGTATGGGAGGTTATCAGGAAAGCACAGTAAACAAAGGTAAGGTTGTTAAGCAGATTTGAATCTTTGCCATCTGCATTGATGAGTCTACAGAAGCAAGGTCACCCCCTCTGGCTGGCACAGCCAGGGAGACACCCTTACAAAGGGAGATGTCTCTTCCGAGCTTCTTCCATGTTTGCTGTTTCTTAAACTAACCTGCCTAAAACAATCCTTTTGCCAAGTAGACATACTTGGGGGTGACAAATTTTGTTCCCTTACAGCTCCTAGGCGGCCTCATGTCACTGTACTGAATACTGTAAGCAACTGTAACACAATGGTGAGTATTTGTGTAATGCATTGCACTGTGATGTCACTAGGCAATGGGAATTTTTCAGTTCCATTATAATCTTGTGGGACCACTGTGGTGTATGTGATCTGTCATTGACCAAACAGTTGTGCAGCACATGATGACATCAACAGTGAGCACCTTGGGCGTGGTAGGTGTACACCAGAGGTTTGCAGAATGAATTACAAAACCCCCAGAGCTGTAAGTCAAGCACTTTGAATTTACATAAGACATTCTTTTAAATTCTTAACAGAATGGCACAAAAACAATTCTGCTTGTTTAGATGTTAACTTTGGGGCCAGCAACAGCCTGAAAGAGGAAATGAGCTGCTAATCACAATTTGCCTTTGAAGAGCATTAATATATTTTACAAATAATAAAAAACAAGAGTGCAAAGCACTTTAACACATTATTTCATTTAATAAATACAGACTCATCTTTCTTTTTTTCCCCAAAAAATGTCTAATTGTCCCCTCGTGGAGGAGGGAAAAACCTAAACAAACAGGAAACACCTGGGCATTTACCACAAAACCAACCACCTTGAGTTGCACCTAAGTCAGTGGTCGGCAAACTCATTAGTCAACAGAGCCAAATATCAACAGTACAACGATTGAAGTTTCTTTTGAGAGCCAAATTTTTTAAACTTAAACTATATAGGTAGGTACATTGTTATTAACTTAATTAGGGTACTGCTAAGGCTTAGGAAGAGCCACACTCAAGGGGCCAAAGAGCCGCATGTGGCTCGAGAGCCGCAGTTTGCCGACCACGGACCTAAGAGATCCACGAATTTCCAGGGCCTATTACATAGACCTGCAGTTTCCTGAGCCAAAGCCCTTTGTAGGCAAATGTTAACCTGACAGCTGCAAATAGCAGTCACGAAAGCAAGGTTGAAGTTGTTCCATTTGGTAGCACATGAGGGCATTTTTGCTGTGACCACAGGAGATGATAGAGGCATATAAGAAAGCGATCCGTTACCTGTTTCAATGTCACTGTCAATATTCAGTGTCTCATCAGAGGGAAACATGGTTCCTTTCTTGTAGTGCTGCTTACAGACTTTTAGGCCAATTCTATGCTCTTCATTTTCTCCATAATTTAGGGTCCCCAGGGATATGTTCTTTAGACGATGATACTATTAAAAATAGTTAAATAAAAACACTATGAGCTTTCAAGAGTTTCATCAGAAGTTAATGCATATGAAATATACTTTAGCTACTTGTTATGGCTTATATCATACTAGAGGCCTGATGCATGAAATTCATGCAAGGAGCTTGGCCCCTGCCACCACAGCGGCTGCCTCTGCCTTGGCCCTCGAAGTGCCGGCTTCGTCCGGAAGGACATCCAGTCTAATTAGCATATTACGCTTTTATTATTATAGATTCCTCAATAAGACTCCCAATGTAAAATACCAGAAGGTCATTTTCTCAGGTTGGGCAGAAACACACTGCCTCCCAGAATTCAAAACTAAAGGGAGTGCTGACAGACCTCCCACCTCACTCTGGGCCCCAGCTCAGGCCGTGCCCACCTCTCTGACCTAACAGCAGACTAGTGACCCTTGGTGCCACCCCCACCTCCTGAAGCCACACTGACCTCCAGGCAATTCCTGGAGCTCCCAGGCACAGGCTTGCCTGTGGCCTTGGTTGTTCCAGGTTTTCAATCTGTTAAGACTCACTGCTTCAGGTCTTGACTCAAATATTACCACCTCAGTGAGGCCTTCCCGTACTGCTCAATGATAAGTGCAAACATCCATCACCAGCACACAGGCACCACCAGGCTCTCCCAATCTGCTCCCTGCTTTATTCCATAGCAGTTATCACTTTCTGACATACCACTGACGACCCAAACCTTCCACACCCCACAGCTTACATTCACGCTCGACACTAGCTCACATGAACACGGCTTCACCACTGGCCTATCTGCACTAGCAGGACTTTACTGGTCCTATCTTCATTAATATGACTTTATTATTCCCAGGAACATAAACGTTGCAAGTAACTGTATTGTTTGTTTCAGGAACATTCCAAAAAATCATTTAAATGATCAATTTGAAGATTCAGTCTAATAACCCAAGTCTTTTCAAACCACCTCTAATCCTCTCCTGGCTGTGTCTACCAACCCTAAACTATTAGACGGCATGATCTTTACCTGATTCTAATCAAGCTCCGTCACATTGAAAGACCCTATTCTTTCCCCCCTAAATCAGACTTCAGAATCTATGTCTGGATTTTGCCGCTTTCACCCAGGGTTGACTGAGAATGGTCAAGATAGCACCTCTCTCACTGCTGTAAGCAATAAGCTCAGTTTTTATTATCAGCGTGCTTTTTTTTTGGTGGTGTTTTCAGGGAGCCAGCATTCAATACTATACATTTCACTTCTTTTCATTTGTCTGGCTTTCCCCTCTAGAACTACTTCTACAAGGACAGGGTTTTATCTTTTATTCACGCTGTATCCCAAGGTCTAGAAAAGTACTTGGCACATACTAGGTACCCAAATATTTATTGAATGGATGGATGAATGAATAAATGAATGAATGAGAGAACAAATGAATGAAAAAAAAGAAAGAGTAAGTATAACAATTTCTCTCTAAATGCTTTCTTTTTAAGGTCTGCCAATCTGTTTTCTCAAATACCTGCCTAGATCCAACTGTAGCATATTCTACTCCCTAGAATCTCAGATTTGGTATCACATCCATCAAATCTTCTGAGATTATAAATCTGCTCTTGGTCATTTGATCTGAGGTAATCGCCCAAAAGTAATTGGTGCGAAGGGATAAATAAAAAAAGTAAATCTTAATAAAAAAAATTTAAATATGCAAAATCTATTGTGTGGAAATGTAGCTACAGAAATAACAATAAACATTTTTTAGCAGACTATGCAAGTTTTAATTAGAATATTTAAATATATGTATAATTTTCTTTTTTTGGCTAAGACAACAAGATCAAGTATCAATATATTCTTAAAATATAGGTCATTCACAATGAAAACTTGCCTGATTAATAGCATAAAATATGCTCTCATAGGCGTCCTCTTGAGTATATACACTGTAACTGTAGTTTTCTTCATCTATGCCAGCATATCCTCTCAAAAACAAATACTTAAAAGCCATGGTGTTTTCTTCCTTGAAAGCAACCACGAGCTGGTTACTTAAACCAAAACGAACAAGCTAGAAAAGAAAATCAAATAGGTATATATGAATTTTACCATTTATTTTATTTATTTAAATCCTCACTGAGGATATTTTTTCATTGATTTTTTAGGGAGAGTGGAAGAGAGAGGGAAAGACAGAGAGAAATATCGATGTGAGAGAAACACATTGATTGGTTGCCTCCTGCACTGCAGGCTGATGTTCTACTCACTCAGCCAAACCGACATGGGCTGAATTTTACCATTTAAATGCCTTCTTATCATCAGCAGCAAGGAAAATCTCACTGCTTTGGTTTTACTAATCACATCAATGTCAAAATACAAGTCCAAAGCAGAATCACCTCATCAAGCTACATGAGCAATTCTAGATAGCATAAAATTAGAAGAAATTACCACTACCAATGACAAAGGGCCCTGCTAGCCCCTGTGTGTGTGTGTGTGTGTGTATCTTTATTTGCCATTCTTCTACATATTATATGTTTATCATTGTTTTTCTTCTCAGCATCATTGTGACATATGTCTGCTGACTTTTAATGAGGGAGAAGAAATCCAAATCAGTTATGTCTGATTCCATTTTTCTAATACTTGGATTTCAAATTAATTTTTTAAAATTGGTGTACTTAGTGAAGCAATAATTCATGTTATTGATTTAACATTCAGAAATCATAACTATTATTTAAAATTACAACTTTTTTGCATATGGCTTTAAGAATGTTTTTGAAAAGTAGCCTATAAAAACTTACTCCCATTGAGAGAAGGAATCCAATTACTCCAGTTCTGCAAGATCTCTTCTATGAGATTTATACCTAAGAGTTCTCTCTCTGAGATTGAAGCACCAGGAAGACTGGCAGGGCTCGCTCAAACCATTCATTGTCATCAAACACCTACCTTCTCGTGATAAAACTCCCACTATTCTCCCTTACACTGTATCCTAGCACAAGGTTAGGCACCAAGGGCTCTCTTCATCAGGACTGAAGGTATTCTTTCTGCCCCAAAGTTTTCTTCTTGTAATCCAATAAGTGAGAGAAATTAGAAAGCACTAATGGTTTACCAAAAAAAAACAACAGGAATTGCTACACACACAGACAACCTCTCTTTCTTAATCACCCTCTCACACATACTCTCTCAATGCACACTCACACTCTCATTCACACACTGTCATATACACACTTTCTCACACATAGTCTCATGTACATATACTCGCACACACACTCTGTTACACACAGACACACCTGCACACACCTCTCTCTCTTTCTCTCTCTCACACACACACTCTCACACACACTCACACACACACGCACACACCTCTACAAGCCCTGCCCCACATACCTTTCCCTACCTTGCCACTTTTTCTTCTCATCTGCTTTATAAGACAATGAGCATCTAGAAAATTTGCCCCAAATCCTCACCCTACTAAGTCATCAAAACAATCTGGGACTCTGTTTCACTGTGTTGATATTAGCATGTTCAACTAGATAACCTTGACATTTTTGTTATTTTCTGTCATTCCATGGTTCAATATGATACACTGCATGGCACTAAACAAGACCTCAATTACTCAACCTTTCATAGGAAATAAATGTTACTATCCTTATGCAAACTTACATACTTTTAAAAATATTTGTTAGCCTTTTAATTTTGCCTGACTTTATAAAAAGGCTGAATAAGTAAAAATAATAGCTACCATTCTACTGCAGTTGCTGTACTAACTGCTTTACATGTATTCTTTCATTTACTAACATAACAACAATGTTACTAGTGTTTATCCCCATTTTACCTACGTAGAAATTTAGAGTTAGCCTCATTAAATTGTCCTAAGTCACCAAACTGGAATGAAAGGCAAACCTAACCGCAAAGTCGTTTTTATTATGCCACACAATTTCCTTCTGTTGAAAATTTTGTCTTTGAGGCTCCTCCTGCAGAAAAGAATCAGGGGCTAGCTTTCCAGAATTGCAGCTATTGTTTGAGAAGGTGCAAGGATGACACTCCTTAGCATCTGAGCCTCACCAGCTCACATTCCTCAAGTACCAAGTTGAAGGACTGAGCAAATGCAAAAACCCAGCTGTTTCAGGAAACTACCAGGTGAGAAGTCCCACATCACCCAGCCTGTGCTGAAACCAAGCCACAGAGGCTGGCAGTTCCTGCAAATATGTCATGTCTGTCCACGGTGTCTGTCGGGGATGGCAGAAACGTCCTGTCGCTTTTGAAGCCAAGAAAGGAGACCAGGAAACCAACATACACGATTACTTCCAGGTTTTGTTTAAAAGACTGACACACAAATGAAAAAACACAGACAGGAATTAAGGTCTTCAATCAAAGTTCACTGAGTGTCTACTCTGTACCAAACTGGGGTACAATGTGGGCAAGATCAACATTGCTTGGCATTGAATAACAACTCTTATCTACTGATTGCCAGGCACGGCACCTAAAATTTGTAATTTTTATTTTTCATTGAATTCCCCAACACTCTGTGAGGGAGATATGACGCTGGGATCCATAAGGACATGATTTTTTTCCCCCCAACTAGCATGTACTAGTATGCATTCAGGAACTGGAATAGTGCTCATCACAATGTTTCCTTCGCATCAATCCTGATAAAATGACACCCATCCCATTATAATTGAGGGGGGAGTGCTAAAAGAGACTGAAAAAAAGAGGAGGGAAAATGGGGTTTGAAGGAAGGAAATATAGTTAAGAAATCTGCTCCAATTAGATATCACCCAAGTAGCAAACCTTATTAGAATGATCCTGCAGACGAACAAAAGTTTAATCATCCCCCTCAATTTTGTTAGAGGAGGCAAGGTACACAACAAGTAAATGATCAATTCCCAGAAATATTCTATTACAAGTGAAATTAGTGATGTGGACACAGGGAAATCATAGGCTGAGTGGTCAGGCAAGGTCGGTAGGGGAGACGGACTTCACACAGTGCCTGTTAGATGAGGGAGAAAAACGAATCCCTCTGGATTGAGGAACAAACAGAGCAGGATCACTGGGTGGGGTCATCGGGCTGGGTATGTGGAGGGAACAGTAGATGAAAACCTGGTGGGAAGGCAGGGAGAAAATCTGTGAATCCAGGCTATGGAGTCAAGAGTTTCTTCTGTGGGAAATAGTGTTCTGCAGAAGTTTCTGAGCAGGAGGGAGACACAATGAAGGCCTTTTAAGAAAAATGAATGGACTGGTATGTATGAGGATAAGAAAGGTAGGCATAAGATGAAGACTAGTAGTAGCCTAGTTAACTTGTCTGTGTTCTTAGACTACAAACTCTGAGGACCTACATTTAGAATAGGAACAAGAATAAGAGTGCGGGCTTCAGAGCCAGAGTGCTGGGGCTCAAATTCCAGCTCTGCCACTTACTAACACCATGGCCATGAGCACATTACTTAACTCTCTTTGGCTCATTTTCCTCATCCATGAGAGACCTACCTCACAGATCTGCTATAAGGATGAAACTGAGTTAACACGCACACAGCACTTATTGTCTCTGGTGCGTGGTAAACACTATGCTACTTGTTAGGTTCATTGTCAACAGCAGTAACTTATCCACAACTAGATGGCCAACAGCATGCTTAGCATACAAGGTGCTTCATACACATTTTTTAAAAATATATTTTATTGACTTTTTATAAAGAGGAAGGGAGAGGGATAGAGAGTTAGAAGCATCGATGAGAGATAAACATCAATCAGCTGCCTCCTGCACACCCCCTACTGGGGATGTGCCGGCAACCAAGGTACATGCCCTTGACCGGAATCGAACCTGGGACCTTTCAATCCACAGGCCGACGCTCTATCCACTGAGCTAAACCGGTTAGGGCTTCATACACATTTTTAATCAACTAACAGATGAGAGCCTGTGCTAGAAAAAAGATAGTGAGCATGGCAAAAAATAAGTAGATGCAGTTTTGAAGGAAGAATTCTTGGGATTTAATAGGTATCAGGACAAGGAAGATAAGTCAAGGATGTTGATAATGTGTTGTGTCCTGATAAGTTAGAATTTTAGTAACATTATTAGATTTAAAAAATGAAGTAAAAGCTAGTTTGGCAAGAAAAGAAATTGGGTAACAATTAAAATTAACCAAATGACAAAAGAAGACATTATTTCTCCTCTTTCCAAGTAATACTAATACTGTCCCTACGTTATAGGTTGCCAAAATTAAAACTTCAAGACTAAGAATTAAAATGAAAAAATTAAAAAAGAAGAAAAAAGCTAAACATATATATTTACTAGTAACCATCTCAAACTTGTTTTTTTTTGGTGTGTTTTTTTTTTAAGAAACTTGGTTACCCTAAAACTGAATGAGTTGCACATCATGTCATATAATGAAAGACCTCTTTATGAACGCAGAATAAAGAAGCAACTTCAGTTATGGCAGAAACCTCCTCTCACTTCTAAAACTTTATGGGGGGTATTTTTAGAAAGGTGTTTACGTTTGCATTCCCGGAATAACATCTTTACAAAGACTATTACATTGACAACAGAATGATTATTTGCCAGTGGAGCCAAATACCTCAAATCAGTCCTGTTTTGAAAAGAGCAAGTGTTTCAAATGCAGTTACCTAGAGAGACACATCCCTGAAAATGATTCCACACCACAGGCCCCAATGCTACATGACGATTCAAATGGCTGTTGTAATACTGGCTATAAAGGGCTCAACAATATGGACTTAAACCAAAGGTCTCAGCCCTAGCAGTATAGCTTAGTTGGTTGGAGCATCGTCCCAATACACCAAGGTTGCAGGTTCAATCCCTGGTCAGAGCACATACAAGAATCAACCAATGAATGCATAAATAAGTGGAAAAATAAATTGATCTCTCTCTCTCTCTCTCTCTCTCTCTCTC